GGGGGGGTACAGTGCAGCACATGTAAGCACACAAACAGCCAAAACATAGCCTAGTGAACAGATTTTCAGATCTCCAATTTTTTTCTGACATGAAAGGTGTATATTCTTTATATCTAAACTACGTACATAGCGAACTTTGCACATACCGAACATAATTATCTATTATATTTCCGCGTTCCTCTGATTTTGTTATGGGCCCTCTAGACTGTGCCTGGCGTTGGGACATACAACGACAGGACTCTTGCAAATGAACTAAGTGAACACGGGAATTAAAGTTGTCTGCTTAAAAACAAATGTGAGGCAGCGTGGAGGAATCAGGCAGGTTTGTACATGTTTATCAAAATTTTGTTTTTAGGCTCAACACCTTTCATGCCCATTAAAGAACTTATTTCTGTGCGGATTTTTCTTAAAAACGTTGATTAAAGGCACCAAAAATATACATTTTTCAGTAACCAAGGAAATAACTAATCTTTGGCTGCCATTTTCTCACTAATTTTACCTCTGAAAACAGGTGACCTCCACCTCCTTCATTCTCAAATATCTCGCTTGTATTCAAGATAAATGGATATTTTTTTCCTCCAAAAAAAGACAAGTGAACAAGCTTTAAGATGATACCAATAACTCTAAATGCTCAAAGATTGAGGAGAGCCTGATTCCACCACGCTGCCTCACAAATCTTCTAACACTTTCAAAGAAACTGTAACATTACTCAGACTGAAACGTCGCTACCAAACCCATCTCCCGTCTTGGAAACAATATCACTTCCTAGTTCCAAGACACAATACTCGAAGAGGAAATTGTTAGGAATCCTAGTACCGTTATCTACATGTATTCTAAGTACAGTTTCAAAAATGTTTTATTATTTTAGAACTCACTTTTGTTAAAAATAGTTTTACTCTTTTTTCTAATCTACACCAAACTTTGTTACCTCTCTGGGAGGATATTTAGAAGGTGCAGGGTAACGAATCATAATAACTCCGCTGAGACATTGACACTACTCCAAGCATGTTTGCCTCAGAGAATAAACCATTTCGTGGATGAGCTGAGGTACTGCCAGATTCACTTCCAAGAAAAAATGTAATTTTCTGAAGCACCTTCGTGTAAGGTTTGAGTAAAGAAACAGAACCACTCATGCAAAAGAATTGAATAAAAAGTAACAATAAAGTAAAATGAAATAAAAATGTAAAAGATGAAATAAATTGTGTGCTTTGGTTATTACAAAACCCCTACAACTTCATATCTCACCAAACCCAAAACTACAAGCAAAAAGAAAAAGTAAGTTTTGAAAGGGGCCTCGTGGCCTAGAGGTTAAAGAGTTCGCCTCTCATTCAAAGGTCCCGGGGTCGAATTCGGATAATGACGGAAAAACGTTCTTCTCTAAAAGTGCCACCTTTCACCTCATTTCCTGCTCTCTTGCAATGTTCTATCGTCTGCTTTCGTCTCCACTTTCTGCCCCCACCCCTTCACCTCCTTTGCTCCCTCCTCTGGGCTCATGACTCTTTCTGCCGCCTTTCCACTGCTACTCCCAGGCTCCTTCTTACTGCTGTCTTTCAGCCACACCCCTGGTCTTCTGGTAGGAAAGATCTACACCTAGCCTTCTCGGACAAGGGGGAAAAATCTCGGAGGTCACGTGTGCAAGTTGCGCACGTTAAAGATCCCTCGGTGGTCCAAAAACGAATAACAGTAGGCTGAAAATTCTTGGTGTGTCCTGCGCGCTCTATGACCATATGCTGTTGCGAGCGCCGTAAAACACTCACAAGAAACAGTTTAGAAATAGAAGAAAAAGCGACAGTCTTAAGAAACTAACTGGACGCAGAGGGCAATGTGAGCCTGTACACATGCAGGGTAAAAGAGAGCCAAAACACACACCCGTCTTGCACGAGCCGCACTGCCTGTTGTGAGTGGCGTTGCAGGGAGAAAGTTCTTCCAAATTCCCGCAGCTTTTGCACGGGATGCAAACATCAGAGTATGACAGTCGTCCTAGAGAGATCATCACCATCATCATCATCACCATCATCATCATCACCATCATCATCATCACCATCATCATCATCATCAAAACCACCATCATCAAAACCACCATCCCCACCACATCATCATCATTATCAAAACCACTATCATCATCATCATCATCATCATCATCATCATCATCATCATCATCATCATCAT